AGCTGCCGGGAGCCTCCAGGCACCTGCAGAGCCCTGCAGTGATCCCAACGCCTGCAGCATCTCCCAGGGGCCCACGGAGAGAAGAAGGGTGACAAAACCCAGCCAAAAGTTGCCTCTGCGGCCGTCCTGCTGAGCCGCCATGGCCCGGCCGGCGCTGCTGGCGCCCGGTGGCTTCCCGGCGCGTGCTGTGGTCTGGGAATGGCTCAACGAGCATGGGCGCTGGCGGCCCTACTCGGCTGCCGTGTGTCACCACCTGGAGAAGGCACTGCAGGAGGACGCGCGGGGCCGCGTGCCGCTGGGCCCGGCCGATGGGCAGCTCGCGCCCTACGTCATCGACCTGCAGGCCATGCACCAGCTGCGCCAGGACACAGGTAAGGGACGTGACACCCACTCGTCCGCCCGCCCCACGGGGCCGCCTCTCCGTGCCGGCCTCATCGCCTCCATCCCAGTGCCTCTCCGCTTGTTGATCTGCACTCCGCTCCTACCATCAGTCCAAGTGCCCTGGTTTCTATCCATTTATCTGTCATTTCTTCCGTGTATCCGTCTGGCCGGCACGCGGCCTGCTCTCCGTCTGGCCTGTTTCTGTCGTTCCTTGGCTTCGCTGTGCTCCCATCTGGCCGGGAATGTCAAGAGACTCTTCCTCCCTCCTTCCTTCCCTGCCTCCTTCCTCCACCGCAGGTCCCTTTTTAGTGGGGGGTGGCCCCTGTCCCCAGAAGCCAGCAGGCACTGGGCCACCACCGTCCTTCCCTTGTGGTGCAGCCGGAGTCTCCGACCAGGATGCAGGGTGCACTTAGGCTGTGCATCCTCGCAGGAGCCGGGATCCCATCCCGCAGCTCCGTGCTTGGCCGCCTCCATCCCTGTGGAGCCAGCACTGGCCGGGCATCAGACCAGCGGCCTCAGGGCTCTGTGGCTGCCGGGATGCCCCAGGGATGGCCGGGGATGGCCCTTGTCAGCTTTGGCTTGGACCTGTGTTGGCTTTGGCCAGCACGGGAGCTGCCTCCAGCCCCGGAGCCACTGGGATGCTGCTGCGAAGGTGCCCTGGTGCATGGGGACACCAGGGCCCGGGTGCAGCGGGGAGGGCCGGGCCCGCTCCGCAGCTGCGGCAAAGCTGACGGTGCGAAACAAGGTGACCCCATTCCCTGCTGCAGGGCCACGGCTCTGCTCCCCATGGTCCCAGCGGTGCCGGTGATGCTGTGGATCCGGCACCTTCCTTGGTGCATCCATCCCCATCCCTTGCTTGGATAGCGATGGGGCTGGGACACGGATGAGAGCGGAATGAGGCATGGGGTGCAAAAAGGGATGCAGGATGGGGATGTGGACAGGATACGGGATACAGATGTGACAGGGATGTGGGACAGGGATTGGAGTGGGATGCGGGATACGGATGTGAGCAGCGTGTGGGATGGGGATGTAAGTGAGATGTGAACTCAAGAGGGTTGCAGATGCAAGGGGGAAGTGGGACGTGGATGCAAGTGGCAATGGGATGTGGGGCACAGACATGAATGGGATGCAGGACACGGGACACAGGTGTGAGCAGAGTGCGGGAGGTAGGGTACTGATGTGGCTGGGCAGCAGGGTGCAGGAATGGATGTGAGCGGGCAGTGGGATACAGGATGCAAGAGGGATGTGGGATGCAGAAGGATGTGGATATGAGCAGGCAGCGGGATGCAGGACATTGGTGCGAGCGGGATGCAGATGCAAGACATAGGATGCAGACATGAGCAGGCAGTGAGATGTGGGTGCAAGCGGGATGCAGGACGCGAGCAGACAGCGGGATGTGGGACACAAGCAGGATGCCGAACGTGGGGCACGGATGTGAGCAGCATCGGACGCGGATACGAGTGGGCAGGTTTCCATTGGCGCCCCGCGGCGCTGGCTCAGCATGAGCAGTGCTGGGGCCGGGCTCTGCCGCCTGCAGCGGCGGGTGATTAATGACCCTTATTAGAGTCGTTAATAGGGCTGGGTAAACGGGACTGGAGAGGGGAAAAAAAGCAGCGGGCGCTTGAGGAGAACCAGGTGCAGCGCTGCCCTCGCCCGGGATGTCCCCCACACAGTAGCTGCGCGTGGGGCTCCATGGGGCCCTGGGCACCCACCATAGTGCAGGCTGCTGGCAAGCCACCGTGGGAGCAGCACGAGCCGCAGCGGCCACCGGTGTCACCGCACAGAGTTCCACGAGTCCCCGGGGGGGGGACAGCCAAGGCAGACGCTGCCATCGATCAGGCCGTGGGCAGGTGCCGCGCGCTGCAGTGGGGAGCGGGGTGCCCCACGCTGCCGGCCCCTGCACCCGGGTGGCCCGAGGAGCTGCTGCTCTCACCCTGCCTCTGCTCCTCCTCTTCCTCTTCCTCCTCCTGCCGGGAGCAGGGTGAGGGTGCTGCCTGGGGCACTGGGCGCTGCATGAGCCCTCGGGAGGGACTAGTGCAGCCCTGCAGGCAGGGTGTGTGCTGGGGTGCTGTGCCGCGGTGCCAGGGTGCTGCCCTGCGTGCCATGCAGGGTGGCATGGTGGTGCCGTGTAGGGTGCTGCACTGGGTGCCACACAGGGTGCTGTGCTGGGTGCCGCACATGGTGCTGCACTGGGTGCTGCCCCGGGGTGTCGCACTGGATGGGGGCCATGCCAGGCACCCCGTGCCCATCCCTCACCTATGGGCGCCCCGCAGGCACTGTGCGCCCCGTGCGCCGCAACTTCTACGACCCGTCGTCGGCGCCAGGCCGGGGCATCGTGTGGGAGTGGGAGAACGACGGCAGCTCATGGACGCCCTACGACATGGAGCTGTGCATCACCATCCAGAACGCGTACGAGAAGCAGCACCCGTGGCTCGACCTGTCCTCGCTCGGCTTCGCCTACCTCATCTCCTTCAGCAGCATGGCCCAGACCAACCGGCA